TGTACACATTTATTTGAAAGAACTGACAAACTTGATTAAACAGCAAAAAAAATTTCAAATTTGAATAAACCTGTAACTTTAAGGAAAACAACTGACAGTATTTTTTGCTAAAGATAAAATTTAAACTTCCAAGTGACCAACTGGAATTTTGGAAAACGTGCATTTGCCACTTTGAGCTTGACGGTTTCCCAATGCTTAACTACAGGTGACACCTCCCCAAATTCCCTCGCTCTGTCCCAGTCCCTGGTAACCACTCATCTGTTTTCAACCTCTTTCCAGACTGCTTTTTCCAGAAGGTTAAGCGGGTGGAATCACACATTATGCAGCATTTTGACACTAGTTGCTTTCACATAGTGCATGCGAGTTTCACCCACACTGTTGTGTGTATCTGTGGTTGGTTCCTTTTTTTTGCTGAGTAATGGTCCATTACACAGGTATATCACAGTGTGTTTATTCATTTTTCAGCTAAAGGATATGTGTGCATTCCAGTTTCTGACAAGTATAAATAAAGCCACTCTATACATTTCTGTACAGATTTTTGTTTGAATGTTACGTTTTTATTTCTCTTGGGTATGTCTGTGATTATATTAGATTATAAAGTATAATAATACTAGATTATAAAGTGCATATTTAATTTTACAAGAAGCTATCCAATTTTTCCAAAGTGCCACTACCATTTTGAATTCCCTTTAGCAATGTATGACAATTCCAGTTGCTCCACATCCTTGTCAAGAGTCAATACAGTGCTGTTTTTATATATAATGCTAATAGGCATGTAATGGTATGTCATTAAATTTGCATTTCCCTAATGACTAATGATGCTACACAACTTTCTGTAGGCTTATTGAAATCTATATATCTTCTTTGGTGAAGTATCTGTTCAAATCTATAGCCATTTGTTTAATTAAGTTGTTTTCTGAGACTTGTGGATAACAGTCCATCATCAGATATGTGTATAATCAATGTTTTCTCCCAGTTTGGGGTTTGTCTGTCTTTTCATTCTCTTATCAATGTCTTTCAAACAGAAGTTTTTCAAATTTTTTTTTAAATTGGGGAATTGGGGGAGGAGAACAGTGTTGGTGAATTGGAGAGGAGGACCAGCCAAGTTGTTGTTCTTCAATCTTCGTTGTGGAGGGCGCCACTCACCATCTGGCTGCCCGTCGGCAGCTCGTGGCCTCTAAGCTCAAGGTGCTGAGTTACAATCTTAGTTGCGGATGGGTGTAGCCACCATCCCATGCGGGAGTCGAACCAGCAGCCTTGTTAAAAGTGCACACTCTATCCACTGAGCCATCCGGGTTGCAGCTCAGCTCAAGGTGCCGAGTTCAGTTTTAGTTGCAGGTGGGCGTAGCCCACCATCAAACAGGCAGTCTTGTTGTTAGGAGCACGTGCTCTCACCAGCTGAACCATCCTGCCACCTGTTGGCAGCTCAGCGGCAGCTCAGCTCCAGCCGAGAATCGAACCGGTGACCCTGTTGCTCAGAACTCGCACTCTTGAGCGAGCTCTTAACCAACTGAGCCACTTGGCTGGCCCTCAAACAGAAGTTTTAAATTTTGAAAAAGTCCAACTTATCAGTATTTTTCTTTTATGTATTGTGTTTTGGTGTCTACAGAAATCTTCGCATGAACCACAATCACAAAGATTTTCTCCTATATTTTCTATAAGTTTTAGTTTTGATATTTAGGTTTATGATTCATTTTGAGTTAATCTGTATATATCATATGAGGTATGTGTCTAGTTTCATTCTTTCCATATAGATGTCCAGTTATTCCAGCACCACTGCTGAAAAGATTATCCTTTTTCCATTGAGTTGCTTTGGCACCTTAGCCAAAAATCAACCAACCATATATTGTGGTCTATTTCTTAACTCGACTGTGTTCTAGTGATCTGTAGGTCTTTCAGTACCATAATGTCATGGTTACTGTAACTACTTAGTAAGTCTTGAAATAAGGGAGTGGAAATTCTCCAACTTTACTCTTTTTCAAAGTGATTTTGGCTTTCTAGTTCCTGCCTTTCCATATTAGTTATAAATTAAGTTTTCTAAAGTACAATAAAATAGCTTGCTGGGATTTTGACTGGACCTGGATTTTATCTACAGATCAATTTGGGCAGAATTCACACTTTAACGGAGTCTTCTCATCCTTGAGCAAGGAATATCTCTCCATTTTTAAAATGAATTCACTTTAATTGCACAGACTTCCTTATCATGGTTTCAGATACCACACTAAAACTAACTTTTAAGAAACTATCACTTGTTAAGTTTGGACACAGTATCAAAGAATATTCCCAATTATTTGAAAAAGCTATTAAAATACCCCTCCTTCTATGTAACACTGGATTTTCTTCATTTACGTCAACCAAAACAGTATCTCACAACAAACTGAATCCAGGAGATTGGCAAAACCAGCTGTCTCCAAGTAAGCCAGTTGTTAAGAGATCTGCAAAACTACAAAGTAATGCCACTCTTTTCACGGTGTATTTTTTTCATTTTGAAGAATATATTTTTCATTAAAAAATAATAGATTTTAATTAATGTTTTAAATAAATATTTAGATTTTTCTAATTTCAATTTCTAATATAGTAAATATAATGGCTATAATCCACATTTAAAAAGTTCTTTGAGATCCTCAATAATTTTTAAGAGTGTAAAGGAGTTATATGGGCAAAAATAAATTCCTCAGATGGATTATGTAACCCAATTAAATATAAAAAAATAAATCAACAAAAGCGCTTTAAAAATATAAGACAATATTTTTTGTAATCTTATGATAGTCTTCTATATAAAGCATCTGTTACTGTTATTAAAAAGATGAACAGATGTGATTAAAAATTTAAAATATCTGTAAATAAAATATACTATAAACAAAGTTTAAAAGTTAAGTGAGAAACTGAGAGAAAATAATTGCAACACAAACCAGAAAAAATATTAGCATCCAGAACACATAAAGATTCCATTAAAAAAAATAAACAAAATGACAAGTAATGGAATACAAAATAGCAAAGGATAATAATAAGAAAGTTACAGGAGAAATGCCAATTGCCAAGAAAAATATGAGATGTGGTCTAAAAATACAGTTAATGTTTAAATAAAACAAATTATTACAGTAAAAGACACATTGCCATTAAGTCCTCTAAAAATACTACCCCTCACTTCGAACACTTATCCCATCTGAAGCAGTTCTAGAAGTCCTCTTTCGTAAGTGTCTTTAATTGCGCTGTTGTGGCTGCCTCGATGTTTGACTTTGGGGAAAGAGCCAGAAGTTGCACGGTGCCAGATCCAGTGAAGAAGGTGGATGAGGACACACCGTAATGTTTTTATTTGACAGAAACTGCCGTATACCAGGAGCATTTTGTGACACGGAGCGTTGTCATGATGTAGGATGAAGTACAGACATTCATGAAAGAGGATTTCCAGAACTGCTTCAGAAAGTGGCAAGAATGATGGGATAAGTGTGTTCAGAGCAAGGAGGAGTATTTTGAGGGGAATTAATGGCAATGTGTCTTTTACTGTAATAAGTTTTTTTAAAATTTTTATTTAAACATTCGCCACATTGATTACACCTCGTACATTTCTATCCAAATCTACCCGTGAATCTGTGCAACCAGCTCTGACTTGCAGTAAATGGCTTGGTGTCAGTCATTTCAGGGGATCCTTTGATGACGTCTTTGTATAGGCTCAATGCTTTCTGGAACATGTTGCCATCAATTGGAACACATTTTCTGTTTGTGTCTTCCATCCACAAATTTAATGCCTTTTCCACCTTAGCTAAACATTTCTCACAATAGTACCGTGGCTATAACTTTTGCAGTTTGAGGTGCAACAGCAATACTAACGAATTTCTTTTTCCTTATTCACAATTCCAAGACCAAAGATTCATTCCATAGATCTTAACAAATTCAGCATACAACTTTTTTCTTATCTTATTAAGTAGAGAATTTTCACCTTTTCACTTAAAGGAAGCACTTTACGACTTCTCTTTAGCATATCTGAATTGCCAGCATCACTCTCTTGTGCTTTGGGGCACTAAGTAAAATACGGGTGACTTGAACACAAGCTCTGTGATACTGTGACAGTCAACCTGATTACTGAGATGGCTACAAAGTCACTAACGGGTGGGTCGAGTATACAGTGTGGATATGCTGGACACTGCGATGATTTACATCCTGGGAAGGATGGATCAAGACAGTATGTAATTTAAAACATATGAATTGTTTATTTCTGAAATTTTCCATGTAAGATTTCTGGACTACCAACAACCCAGATAACTGAGACTTCAAAAAGGAAACTGCGGATAAGGGAGGACTACTGTATGAACAATTTTTGGTTTCTGTTGTATGTTGTTTATGACTGATGGGATACCAGCTTTATGCTCTATTCTAAGTAAAATTTAAGATTTAGGGAAACTGTATGTTATGAAAAATATAAGTTTTACCAAGAAAAAAAGAAGATGAATAATTATATTTAAGTGACTCAAAGATACCAAATACTAGAGACAAGCACTAGCTCTAATTGTCAACAAGGAGAAGTATAACAAGTAACATTACTTAAAGTAGTGCAAAATGATTAAAAGCAAAAACGAAAGTAAGATTTCAGTTTTCCCTTCATGTTACCTTACCTAAGAGGTCCAAAAAACTTAACCAAGGATTCCCGAGTATCTACTTCTGCCACATTTGAGAGGGCAAAATCATAGAGTTCAGGGAAATGTGCAAAAGCAGCTCTCTAGAAAAGAACAGAAAAAAAAATCAATAATTTATGTCTACCTACTGATACAATCATCAATTTATATTATATAATGGAAATATTTTTTAAAATATTACTGCACTTCTCTTTTTATATGCTTCTCATGTGTGACCTCTACCTTATTAAGCCAGAAGCATTAATTATAATGGGAAAAGGCTAGAATTGTTTTAGCAAGGATGAAAAAAATCGAGAGTCAATGTTCAGTTTTTTATTTCTAAAATTGTATTTTGAATATACATGAAAGCCAGCTTCATTGATAGGAGAGGAGAAAAACAAAACAAAAACTTTATTATCAAGAACTGGCCTAACAAAACTATAAGAAAGTTTTAGTTTTCACAGGAAATTCCCACTGAAGCAATAGCTGAGGGAGAAACCGAAAGCACAGTGTGCTTGTGCCCCACTTTATTCTGAATTCTGGAAAGAAAGGACCTCGCAGGGTAACCCAACCGACCTGGGATAAGTCACAAGAAAACGGAAATAGCTGCACTACGTTGATTTGATAAGAAAGTGCAAGATAACACCCTAGTCTTCCTCAATGCCCACGTGGCACAGACAAGACCTAGAAGTTTTTCATGGACTCCATAGTGGACCACACAGACGGCTGCCAAGGATGTGAATGAGGCTGCCTTGGGGTTCCCACAGGCAATGGCAAAATGACCCTGCAACCCAAGCCCGAGAGTGAGCAGTCTATGCTAGGAAATAAATGAGTCAGCTCTCAGAACTCCAGCACCACCAAGAACAAAGTTGGGGCCTCATCACCAAGGAGACAGCCAAGCTCGTCAGAAGCAATCATCATGCCTTGCCTGTGCCAGGAGAACAGACCACAGGCCACACAAGAGACGGTCCCTTCCAGGGCAGAGGAAGGACAAAAGCACTAATGCTCTGAGAAAAGCAAGGAATGAGTTCTGAGCTGGGACAGTGTGCGGATCCCTCCTCTTCCAAACAATGAGGCTGTCTTAGGGTCTCCATGTACCCAGACGCCATTTTGGGAAAGAAAAGGGAGAGCAGACACTCCTTGAGAGGTAGTGCAAATGATTAGGAAGACAGGTGAACTTAAGTTTGACTGAGTCTTTATCCAAAACATGACTTTTTAAAACAAAAAGAATAGAATTTAAATCGACAAATAAAAGCTGCTTTCTGCCACCAGAGGAAACGGAGTTCAACAGCTCAATGAGGTCAATAATAGAACACTAAGGTATTTTTTTTTTTGCATCTGAGCTTTACTGGTAAATTTCAGTCCTATTATCTGTGTTTATCTTTAAAATGCACAAAATGCTTACACTACTTGTCATATGTTGAAATATTCTTTCATATAACAAAACTGATATTTAAATGCACCAAATTGGCCCAGTTAACTAATATTTCTGAGTGTCAAATATCAGTATTCTGATTCTCAGGATGAGGCTATGAAAGAAAGGCATTTTTTTTTTAATGAATTTATCAGAATTAGGAATATTTTAAAAGTTCAAGATGAAAATACTATTAAAGGGATACCTTTTTCTGTTTGTACTATACAAAACCGAAATTACTCATGACCCAACTTTATGGAGCAGAAGCAAAGCATTTCAATTACCTGGAGAGAAGTAATTCTATCATAGTGAATTGTAGTCATCTCATTCTCCGTCAGAGCATTTCCAGTCTGGTCATTAATCTCAAAACCAGTGTAGAACTTAAGCATGTCCAAAAGCTAGAAGGATACATTTAAATTAAATTAATAAGCTGTGTGAACATAAGAGCAAGACAGCATGAACAAACACTATTTATTAAAAATAATAAACAGCAACTTCTCAGAGGTGCTGAAAGCTCTGGAATGTAAACATTGCAACACACATTTTAGAATATATCCAAATGTGTTTTACTTAAGTGAGAATAGGCATGTACGTGCCTTTTGAATAAATTGTTAAGTCTATTTCATACACATAGTCTACTTATACACAGAAGAACTTAAAACTTCTATCTCAATAGTAAAAAGACATTAAGGATCTAATCAAAGGACACCAATCATTTTAATGAAAAAAAATGATCTATGTCACTGCAAATTTATACAACTAGAGGGCACTTCTGAGGTGTTTTATTTATGCCATTTAGGGTTTTCTGAATGAGGGTTTTGGAATTCATAATTGGAGATACTCTTTTCTACGTGCTGCTTCTATGACAGAAAAACATGATAAGGCAACGTGGGGAAAGCTAAACAATCTGTTCCTCTCATCGGTCTCCATGGCCCCTGAGCCCTTTCTTTGGTTTAGTTTCTATTGTGGCAGCATCAACAGAGTCCGCTGGCTGCCTTCACCCCAAGTCCTTATATTGTTCTTAATTCTAATCTATGGTAGATCAGATAGTAGGATTTTAATATATGCGGCAATCACTGGGATTTAATAAGAGAATGAGAAAAAAAGGAATGTTCACAGGTACAAGATAAAAGATTTCTTAAAATATGTAAACACAAAAATTGTTAACTCTTAACTATGATCTCATTGAAATGCAAGTATTAGAAGCTTCTCAGAAGACTTTTCTTCTGGATGACACCACAGGAAATGTAAAACCGTAATACTTCATCTTCTTATCCAAGTTAGCAAACAAAGTGTACGTGCCGTCCTACTCAAGGCAGCAGACAGAGTGCACATACACTTCCCCGCCACCAACTGCCTCTGCTACCGTCATCTCATGGAGAGAGCGCCATAGTATTAGGGCATAGTTCGCCTGAAATTAATGCTCATCATCTGTTACATTCCACAGTGGTTACTAACATAATATCAAAATATGCGAGTATGTGGAACTACACGGCACATAATTTAGTCCAATAAAAAAATCATTTGATGAACAAAAGGTTCTCTCATCATTAGAGGCCACGTACACAAGAATGCATTCATTCTGTACATTAAGACTTGATTTTTACTTAAAAATGACTAATTAGAAATGTTCATTACACAATTCAAAATAAAGCAAATTTTATTTTGTGTCATGCCCTGATACTCCCAGTTGCACGGAAAAGTTCAATTTGGAAATGAAAATAGTAAGTACGTTCAGATACATCAATGCTCACCTGGGAAAAAAGATGGCCATCCTCTTCCCTGTGAACAAGATTGGAAAGGTAACAGTGAACCAAAAGGTGGGAGTCATCCAGGATGGTATTAAACCAGCGCCTTGTGGGGAGTAGGGCCTAGAAAAAGTAAATACCACAGCAGTAAGTATGCAGGTTCTCTGTGGCTAGAGGTGAAATCTACTGATACTTAGCTCAGAAGTGTTAATCACATCCAAATTACCCTCAAGTCTCCCAAAGACGCAGTGCACAAAGCAAGGTCCATGTTGTCAATAAACTCAGCGTTAATGTTTCTCAGTAAAATACAGTAGTGGAAAAAAATCTCAAATATCTCAGTCAGTAGTTTTCGAACAAAATCCTATATGAAATCCCAATATGCACTTGTGTAGGTTTTAAAAATGGGGCTGCTTTTAGAGAAAAGGGAGTGGGGACCCCTGAATGAAAATTCCTCTTTCAGTTTCCACTTCCTTCATCCTCAATGACAGTCAGCAAGACAGTGCTGAGAAATGGTGACAATCAGTCTGAAAACCATTAATCTAATCAAACACCCTCATTTTATAGATGAGGTTTAGATCCTCAGAGGTTATAAATTAGTTACAGGCAGAGGCAGAATTTGAATGAAGATCTCATGAATAACAGCTAGTCCAACATGCTAATCCTCATGTCAAGAAACCACCCTACCTTTCCAGATAAGGAACAAACAGAAAGGATTTTCTTTCAGTTGCCTACATTAAAGAGGGAAAGGCAAGGAGATGAATTCAATCTGAACTAAAGCAACTCTGCATCCGAATTTTCCATCAAAATCTTTCACCCAATAGTATGAAACCTTCTTTTTTAAGAATCTTAATTTTAAAAATTGACAATAGCAACTGTATCTTTCTTCATCAACAATATTAGGCACATATAAAAAAGTGACATTATTGGGCCGGCCGAGTGGCGCGATGGTTAAGAACTCGCTTGGGATGCCAGAGGGCCCCAGTTCGGATCCCACATATGAGGGCCAGTGACACTGCCCTCTACAGCTAAGATGCTGAACAACAGCTCAACCTGAAGCTGGGCTGCCGTGAGTCGCTGGCGACGGTGTGGGCTGCAGTCCCTGTGGCAGTGGGTTGCCATGGGCTACCGTGTGTAGCCAGCAGCCAGCGTGAGCGGCCTTCCAGAAGCCGGCGACTGATCTGCCTCGCCAGGGAGGAGCGCATTGATGGTGCCAACTTGGGCCAGTGAAGCAGCGTCCTCTACAACTAGATTGAAGAACAAAACGACAGCAACTTGTCTGTTCCCCTTCCCCTAATTTCCCAGTACTGTTCCCAACCCCCCAATTACCCAATAAAAAATCTTTAAAAAAAAAAAAAAAAGTGACATTATTAGAGATGGCCATAAACCTATGACATCAGCCACTATTTTAAACTCGACGAAGAGGTATTAAAATGTAATAAAAAAATAAACTGCCATTGCTAAACTCATGTTTAACAACTATACTAAATAATGTTTTTTCTACAAACATTAACCATTTGATAACTTCAAGGGTCAATTGCTTTTGACTTTCTTCTGTGAGACACCTTGAATTAGGTACAAACTAACTAACTAAGGCCAGTTTGAGGTGATAAATATTTTAATTAAAAAAAAAAGAAGAAGTATTTTATAGTCACATCCTTCATCTTAGCCTCCTTAATAATTATATAACAGAAAAGTCACTGCACACTTCTTACCTCTAGATCAATCATGAGTTCAATGAATCTTTCACAGTAATGAACTTTGTCCATAGTGACAGGTTCTAGACATAATAGAGAAAATGTGTTAGAATTTTCTTACTTAAGTCATTCTGTGGTGCTGTATCTTAAAATTGGCAGTTATTTAAAACAAGGTCATTTGTCTCTTAGTCATCAGGATTGGACTATGATGTAGAGTAAGGACCTCACATAAATTTTAAAAACACGAAGGCCTTACCCTTATATTTAGCTCTACAAATACAAAAAATGAAAAACCTAGCTCGGGTCAGAAACATAAAAATAAGATTTGCAGAAATATTTTTAAATATCTGTTCTGTATGATTAGATTTTGAAAAACTTGGATATGAAAATAAGAAAGGCACTTTTATGTTACCACTCGACCCACTTTCCTTACTGGTCTTCATATACTAAACTTCTAGAACTTTTACATTTCTTTTTTTTTTTTAACTGAGCCATCCTGCCACCTGTTGGCAGCTCAGCAGCAGCTCAGCTCAGGCTGTGAACTGAACAGGTGACCCTGTTGCTCAGAGCTTACACTCTTGTAAACTTCTAGAACTTTCATACGCAAAAATACACATACATATATACATACAAAAATTATCTAGGGCTGGCCGAGTGGCTCAGTTGGTTAAGAGCTCTCTCAAAAGTGTGAGCTCTGAGCAACAGAGTTGCCAGTTCAATTCCCAGCCCGAGCTGAGCTGCTGCTGAGCTGCCAACAGATGGCAGGATGGCTCAGCTAAAAAAAAAAAAAAAATCTATACATTTATACATATTGGGTTGTCGGAAAAGTCATGATGTATTTTTGCAACGAAAAACAGAAAAAATACGTCATGACTTTTCTTACAACCCAATAATAAATATATCTTTAGCATACATAGAAAATGAGTGGAAAAAATACATACCGAACTAATTAAAAGGGACAATTTTTATGACTTTTTTCCTACTTTATATGTATTCCTTCTAATATTAAAATGCCAATGACATAGAGTAATAAAATATTTTAAATTCACTATCTTATGCTATTCATGAACATTAATGTACTATTTTTTAAATATTTATTTTTGTTTTTAAATAATTACAACCTTGTGACATGACACACTTTCAGAGTACAAGTTTTTTTTGTTCTTTTTTGTCAAATGCAAGGAAATGGTTTACCATTTTACCAGCTCAAAGCCTCCTGCCAATATTCTTTCAATTAAAAAGGATAATTTCAGGGTCCCTGCTGTTGCTTAGCCTAAGGACTCCCAGCAGGGACTAACGCAGTGCTAGACCTGTAGAAGACACCCTACTAATGCTTACTAAATCCACTTATTGAATTTATTTGCAGTATACAGGAAAATGGAGGGCTTTATGTGAAAAAAGAAATGTGAATACTTTTGTGACTAATATATGGAAATGTTAACTGGAACTTTTCCATGTCCATAATCCAGACCCTAAAATTATATAACCATAGAATTTCATAGCTGAAAAAAGTACTTAGAGAACATCTATTCTAGCTCTTCAATCTCCAACTGAGAAACTGAGGACCAGAGAAAATGACTTGATAGAAGTACAGAACAAAGTAATGGCTGGTTAGAAGTGGGATCCAGATTTTCTGAGATGTAGTCTGAGATGTAGGTCATATAGCTATTGAAACGAAAGAATTTAAAGGCGTGCCGGCCAAGTGGCTCAGTTGGTTAGGAGCTCTAAAGAGTGCAAGCTCTGAGCAACAAGGTCGTTGGTTCGATTCCCGGCCTGAGCTGAGCTGCCAACAGGTGGCAGGATGGCTTAGCTAAAAAAAAAAAAAAGAATTTAAAGGAGGAACTTTTAAAATTAAATCCATTCAAACCAATCCTCTGTTGTTATCTTTTGTTCTTATTACAGTCAAATTAAAATTTTTTCCCCCAAAATTTAAAAAGTGAGAAAATTCTATATTTTTATTTATAATTTGAGAAAATTACTGGCAATGGCCTGTTTAAATTTGAACACGATGTTTAGTGCTCAACTTCTGAGCCCTGGAGGATAAAGCCGCATGTTTTCAAATTAAATAGCCCTACAGACATACTGTTTAAAGTTGAAACCTTGTTACTTACAATTATAATTTCAGTTATCATTATATCCTAATCATTTGCTTCTTATGGGTATTGTGTGCTTTTCTTTTATTTTGACATTTTATTTTTCTTTTAGTCCTAACATCTCCGATCATCCCATAGATTTCCTTTATAACCAACTGATAAGGACATGTTTTTAATGATTGTAAAGTGAAACTACAATTCTTATTTGTTTAAAAATTAGTTTTCTGTTTCCTAACTGTAAAAGAAATCCATCTTTGTACCCTCTTTGAACCAACACACTGTTTTCAACATCTGTTTGTTCCTTTGTCAGTGAGTAAAATTTTGACTGAAGCTCAAGATCTAAGAAATTTTGTTTTCTGACAATATAAACAATAATGGCAACAGTTAGTGGTTTATATGTTGTTAAAATTCCTGTAGGTTCTATGTTGTTGTTGTTACTTGATTTTCATACCTTTCTAGGTTACCCCAGACAAACATTCCATAGTTAGAGACATCAATTTTTATGACTCTTATGACCCTATTACAGATATTAGCAGTTCTAAGCATTCTTATTACTAATTGTTGCAAGAAAACCAAATCTAAGTCCTCTTTCCAGTTTTAAGCCACTTAACTGAAAGATTTAAATATATTAGGTGACTTAGATTTTAAGTATATGATAATGTTTTCTTTATGCTGATGCTGGTAGTAATATTATGCCTAAATCATGATTTATGGCATTAGTATCTATTTCTCACTGAATTATAGGTATGATTCTCAGTTCTAAAATCACTACTTGGAGGGTCAGCATTTATAAGTAACTCTGTTGTATTTTAGTTTAAAAACAGCTACAATATCTGATGCAAAATATAAATATGGTACATCTACAGAGCTGCTCTTATAATTCCAGTTAGGAAATAAAACATTTTTAATCAATGATATATTTTACATAGCACATATATACCTTTATTAAGTAAATAATATTCTTTTTGCATTCACTAAATGCTTACAAAGATCTTGTAAACACAGCATAATGTAATTAGCCCTGCTTGGCATATAGGAATATAACACACACACACACACACACACACACATACACACACACACACACACACACACACACAAAAGCTATAGTATAGGCACACATATATATTTCTATATATAGTATAATCATATACTCTACATAGTATATACTCAATGGAGGGAAATCCTCCCCATTTCTTCTTGTACCTCATATCTCAAAAGTAATTCTCCTCTTCCCCTCCAAACAGTACTTGATGTCCCTTGAAAACACTATTTGGCACCATACTGTAAATGCCATGTGGACAGGGTCTGTGATTGTCCTGTTTACCACTGTGTCCCAGCTCCTTGCAAGCTCAAAAAATATTTGCTAAATAAACGAACATTCCAAAAACCATGCTGTTGCCTTTAAAATATATGAAATTTTTGGCAGTCCTTATATTCAGACTGGCAAAATAGTTGAAAAGGGGAGAGCATACACTTTGTCACTACAATGTAAAATCACTCCAAGAGCAGTTTTAGACTAGAGATTAGTAAATCCTACAGGGCCATCTAAATAACTTCACAAATAAGCTGAGTAAAAGAAGATAGTTACCAGAAAGTGGGACTGATTTCAGCACAGAGATAAACTTCTGGATGAGTTGTGAAAGAAATCTTCTTTCTTGATAGGCTCTAAAATGAGAGATAAAACACTGATCAATTTTTGAAAAATAATTATTTCAAAGGAAAATTTTAAGTTGAATAAGCCTTTCTTATACTGTTCAAATGTTCCATTGCTCTGTGAAACGGGGACCACAACTTGAACACAAAGCTGCTTCTCTGCATGTAAACACAGCACTACATGAAGGGAAGAGGAGCCTCAGGACTGGCCCAATAAGCCAGTTCAGAAAGCACCACCTTCTGACTGTATACGTTTTCAAAATTTCATTTACAGCCTGCCCTTCACATTAAAAATCTAACGTGTAAGTAGGTAGTTAAAATGAGATGAGCAACTTTATATCAATACTTTAATATGTTTAAAGTGTTAAATAGAATATTTCAATGTCTAAAAATTAAATGTTCATTTAAAAACACAATTTTCTACTCCTTACTAGTTTAAGATGCACTATGTGCCAATTAAGCAACAATCGTCAGGTATGGGATAACTACAAATGATTATGTCAGTCCTGCTGGAAAGTCAAAGGAGGGGAATGACGGAAACATACTTGAGATGACTAGTCATATAATGTAAAGATAATCAGTAATACAAAAGAGCATGTAATTAATAAAACAGGCTGACATTAATTGAGCACTTACTGTGTCAGAATCTGAGCTGTGTTAAGTACTTCATATGAATAATCTCATTTAATGCTGAAAACGGTTCTATGAAATAGGTACTACTGTCCCAATTTTACACTGAGGCTCAACGAGGTGTGGTAACTTACCCAAAGTTACACAGCAACTGTCCCTAGTCAAGTCTGATTGTAGAACAATACCCTAGGCAACTATACATATTCTAACCATTACATAAATAGCTGGTGTTTCAATAAAAAATATACAGCTGGTTTTAGAATTCACCATGGCTAAAGGTCTGGAAGAACGTTTGGGAGGTTAACCCTTAATCAAGTGAAATGGAGATCGCAAAGGGCACTTAGGACAGGAACAATTTAAGAAACAATGAATAACACAGCAATTTGGGAGAGTCACAAGGAATAGCTGGTGGTTTTGAATGTCACTGGGAACAAGGAAACCACTGGAAGCTTGTGAGTAGGATTATGACAAATTATACACAATTTTCTACAATGATGGCTAGTTAGGCTCATTGTTGCAGGACAGCTAGAAGAAACACAAAATAGGAATTTATTGTAGTGGTTTAGTCAAGAGGCTGTAAAGGCCTGACAACAGCAGTATGAATAGACAAGAAATGAGAGGGAGGACAAAAGATGAATCCAACAGGACTGGTTGACTGGGTATAGTCAGAGAGTGTTCCAAGCCCAATGGCTAAAAGAATTAAGAGAGACTGGGGAGAAAGGTGAGTTTGGGAAGAAAAACAATGAGTATTACTTAATTAAGCCAAATTGGAGTTCATGGCAATGCATCCAAATAGAAGTATAAAGCAAAGAGTTATATGAAGATAGGAGAGCATAGAAGTCAGGGCCAAAGAGATTTAGGGTTAAATCATATTGAGGTAATAGGAAGAGAGTTTTTTTAAAAAGTAGTCAAATGATACAAAGATATCATGTAATTAGGTCTAGTCAAAAGGCTGCTCATGAAAGAGATGAGGCTGGAGTTGGAAATTAAAGAAGGGACGTTCCTACTCTGACCTAATAATCCTGTCCTTACTGCTCTCATCCCCTTCCTCTCATTTGTCTGGCATCCAGCTTATTTTAGCTCTTCACATTTTCAGTAACCTTTCACTTCTTTTTTACCTCAACCCTCTTTTCATGGTTTACATACCCCACTAGACAATTTCACCCATATTCATGGCTTTATACATGTATAGGCTACTCTCCTAAGTGGGAAAAAAAAAAAGATGGACTCAAAAGAAGTTGTCATAGGCCCAAAGGAAGTGAGTCCTATGCGCGCGCATACACTACGACTACGGTGGGGGGTGGGGGTGGGGGCGGTAGTAAATAAGTGGATGGAAAAGAGGAATTAAAGATGGAGAAAGAAAAAAGGATTACTGTTAGTATAGTCATGGGATAAATAAGGCAAGAGCAGTCAGACCAGTTAGCCTTAAAGAGACAGAGAGAAATAAACCTCTTCTAGTGCACAAATCCTTCCCATGTCCTACTAATACAATAGCACTCTGTTCAGTGAAATCAATACTTGCTATCAGGCTTTTATCCAATTGATAATAATTACCATTAAAATAAGCCATCATCCTTACCTGCTTCTTTAATCCTTAGACCTGATTTGTATCACCACTAATACACTATGTAACTCATCTGTTTATCACTATCTTCCCCAACTAGAATGTAAGCTCCATAAGAATAGAAATGACTTTCCATTTTGTTCTCTGCTTTATCTTTTATACCTAGAATAGTACCTAACAAAATAAACACTCAGTGTTTATTGAAAGGATGAATGAATTATGGCTGAACTATATAAAGGTTGCTGTTAAGAGTGACTGAGTAAGAAGAAGAAAAGTTGGATTGACAGCCTGAAGATCGTGGAGAAAATTGAGAACCATCTGTGACACACAGACTATGGACAAGAGGCAGGGAGAAGGCCACTGATATACTTATCACTGCGGCAGAGTGAAGGGAAAGAAGGAAAATGTGGTAAAAACGCTCCTCAATCATTTATCTGGTCCAGCACTGTGTAAAGGAAACAACAAACCAGTCAACGTCATCTAAGACCCACACCCCAGTGTAATAAACCAACATGGAACAAAGCTGCAGCAACGTACTGTTCTCTTGCTTCTGGATCCATCTTTTCATCATTCTTTTTAATCAAGTTCCAGAATTTTCTTAGCTTAGGCGTCTTTTTTAATTCTAATTCCAATCGTGCCTGAAAGAGTGATGTGATAGTAAATCAACAGAAACCTCAAAGTTTACAAGGATAAAGATTAGATTAACTATTAGCTAGTTTTCTAATGTATGAATACAACACAGAACAATGGGAAAAAACCTAAAAGCAACATGACAAAACCTGAAAACTAAGAAACTAATAACTATTTTTAAAAATTGTCCTATTCTATCACTTGTTAATAGAAAACTACCTTTTTTGGTCAAGATTTTAAGCTCAATTATCATTTAAATTCCTTTATTTCTAAAATTAAGGATTTCAGTTTGAAAACAATGAGCATTAACACTTATGAGCATAATGACTAAAGTTTGAAAAATGAATCTGAAACAATGAACGTGAAACAGATATCACAAGTAAACAAGGTAATGTCCATATTACCATATTCTTTCTTATGGCACTTAGCAGATATTAACAGTATTAATTATTTCTACATGTCTGTTTTCATCCCCATTAACAGGTACTTATGAATGAGCTTGCATATCTGAGTACCTGCAAAAACACCCACATGCAGGAAATAGAATCCTGAATCAAGTATTATACTGAAATTTGATAGTTTTACTTTACTCCCCTAAGATCTGTTAATATGGCTTTGATACCAGCACGTATTATCAATAAAAATTTGATGAAAAAGTGAAGTCATTAAAAATAACCATGATCCAGACCTTCTCTTATAGCTGTATGTATATTCCAATCAAGGAAAATAAAAATTCAAGTCTGTATCAAGTCTCATCCAAAGACAAACACAAGAATAACAATATTTTGCTAAATTAACCTGCCTTCCCTATGAGCTCAATAGATATTAACTTATTTCACCTTACAATATTGAAATTAGGTAAAATGTATATTAGCTTGTATATAAAAACTTTAAAACTGAAAAACTACATCTATGATTAAGTTTATACATAATAAATAAGGTAATTTTTTAAGCAGGAAAGGGGATTTTTAGCTACCATTTTAGTTCCATATTAAAGCTACCCAGTCTAAAACCCACATTCCACGAATAGCATATATACACAAAAGTTTCTGAAAGGAGATACTCACAGTCTGCAAGCCCATCCACATCGGGAGGGAGATAAGCTGCTGTACTTGACTCCGTATCAAGTCTACTTCCTGTTTAAAGCACAAAGAAAACAAGTTTATAAACACACCAGCATTTTAACCTTAATCTTCACATAAGGAGCATACTGCCTTTTTAAGTCCTGGGTGGGTGGAAGGGGGACATGTCACCAAATCAATGATATTTTGATATTAAGAAGTTCAATACTTTTTTTTAAAAGATAGTCAGTCCTCATTATTTGCAAATTCTGTATTTGTGAATTCAACTACTCGCAAAAAATGTATCTGTAACCCCAAACTCAATACTCCTGATGCTTTCACAGTCATTCGCAGACAGCACAGGGCAACAAAAAAATGCGAATGGTCCAACAAGCACATTGCCAGCTATGCCTTCGTTTCAGCTCTCCTACAAACAAGTGTCCTTTCTGTGGTCTGGTTTAGTGCTAACTTTTTGTTTTTGTGCTTTTTGTTGGTGGTTTTTTGCTTTTTAAAATAGCCCCGAAACACAGGGCTGAAGTGTGTCTAGGATTCCTGGGCTCAAGAAGGCTATGATGTGCCTTATGGAGAAAACAGGTGTTAGGTGAGTTTCGTTCAGACATGAGCTAAAGTGCTGCTGCACATGAGATTTTGGGGGTTTTTTTTAGATTTTTTTTTTTAAATTGGGGAATTGGGGGATGGGAACAGTACTGGGGAATTGGGGGGAGGGGAACAGACAAGTTGCTATCCTTTTGTTCTTCAGTCTAGTTGTGGAGGATGTTGCTTCACTGGCCCAAGTTGGCACCATCATTGTGCTCTTCCCGGGTGAGGCAGATCAGTCGCCGGCTTTTGGACGGCCGCTCACAGCAGCTGCTGGCTACACACGGTAGCCCATGGCAACCCACTGCAGCAGTGGCTGCAGCCTATGCTGTCGCCGGCAACTCAAGGCAGCCCAAGGCAGCCCAGCTCCAGGTTGAGCTGTTGTTCAGCATCTTAGCTTTGGAGGGCAGTGTCACTGGCCCTCATATGTGGGATCCAACCCGGGGCCCTCTGGCGTCCCAAGCCAGCTCTTAACCAATACACCACTCGGCCAACCCTGCACATGAGTTTTAACATTAATGAATCCACAATACATATCACATAAGGTGTCTTTAAACAGAAACACACATAAAACAAGGTTCTGTATTGATTGGTTGATGGAAAGTGCTATGACCAGAGGCTTGCCAAACCTAACCCTATAACCTCCCTAGGAGCAATGGTTCCGTTTTAGCTAATTCAGTGTTTGCAGCTACTTTATAGAACATAACTACCTCAAATAATGAGAATTAACAGCAAACTGAAAAAAGTGAAGCATTTCAATAAGTAGCTTTTAAGTTAATTAAACCCAGCACCAAACTAATACTAATTAAATCTTGTTTCTGTTCAATTTTTGATAAGGAATCACATCTATTTATATTTGTATTTGCTTTGTTTAGTTTCCTAAATGAGGTACCAATGGCATCCAAGGGGCATCATGAATCTTATTTTTATGCCTTTATAAGATCCATGTGATGTAGTACATGGAAACAGGTAATAACCATCCATCTATCAACATTCAGTCTTCAGGATAAGAAAGAACCCCATGCACTCTCCTGCAGGGGTCTAAGTGCACTATCAATTCAGAAGCACTTATCTTTAAATAAATAGGTCTATACCTTCAGATAACCACAACAGGGAAGTACAAATAAAATATTAATTACTGTGAATACTTCATCTTTTAGAAGATAATCTTATAAAGGATGCAAAATGTATCATATACAACCCAAGAGGTTTTCAGAGCATCCACAGTTGCTCCTAATTAATCAGCTCAGAACAGCAATCCCGCTGACCTGCAGCCTGTGCATGAAGTCATGACTGAAGAGTAAGGAAGCAGTTTTTGTGTGCAGCTTATGGCACAGATCTCCTTACTCAAAGTTCCTATGGACCAGACTCTTTGCTGCTCTGCCCTAGAGAATTTCAGTTCTCTTTATCATTTTTCTTAGTCTAACTGAAAAAAGGAGAGACCAGTGCAAATCTATTAAAAAAACAAACAGATCTTATAAAATGTTTTATTGAGAAGTGGCTAAAATTAAGCTGTCAGCATTATTCTCATTCCCCATTACTATGAATGAAGAGTTGGCTACAGAGGTAATCTCATCTGCTTCAACTTAAAAGAACAAGAAAACGTGAAAGCTCCCCCAAAAGATAAAGTAAAATTACCAAACTATTGAAGCAGTGATCAAGAAAAAGCAATAAGACTGTCTGTTCGTGGAGTGAAAATTCTCCATCCGTTTCAGCCAATGCCGCTTTCAAGATACACTTAAAAAAGAATGGGAAGTGGTCTGGCTTCTTTTTAAAAGTCTGAAAAGAGAAACAATAAAAATTCATTTTGAAATGGCTTGCTCACCTCTTTTTCTCCTTTAAACAAGCATTTGTAAACTTTTTCGAAGTCTACTAACAAAACCAAATAATTACAGAAAGATTATTTGCTTACTTATATTAACAGTAACAAGTCAAATACTATATATAGGTTTCTGGCAGGACTAGTAAAGGTTGCAGAAATCTTTGGCTAATAAAATAATGGCCTTTATTTTTATTCTGTGGAGTATACCTGTAATTAGCTTAGGCTTCATTGTCTTATTAAGGATCTGAAGTGTTTTAATTCTTCTGATTTAAACAAAAAAAACATGTTTAGCAAAAACTATAGTGCTCCCTCTCCAATTAATCTTGAGGACAACCTCTCCTGTTTTATAATCCCTCTTTACTCTTAACATGTAAATAATGTTTTTTTAAACAATATAAATAATATAAATATATTCAAGCCTCTCTAATCTACCTCCCCATCTAGTTTCTGCCACATCTCTTTTCTTTCATAGACAAGTGCTCCAAATGTGTGGTCTATACTAGTTGTTGTCATTTCTCTAAAACAAGCTACCACCACAGCACCTCCCTGAAGCTGTATGGCTGTCAAGTGCAATGTACTCTTACCAACCCTCAAATGCTTTTGAATGTGCCAAGCGCTCTTCCGTTGTCATTTATATGGCAGTGCTCCTACAGTTCTAGCCTCATTTTTCTTCTACCTTTCCCACTACTTCAACTACCATATGATAATGATTTCAAATCCAAATCCAAATGTCTCTCCTTAGCTCTAATCCTTAGATTCCTCTGTCTACTAGACAATTTCATCTGGATATTCCAAAGACAATTTAAACTCAGTAAATCCAAAATTCAAGTCAACAATTTTGTACCCTCCAAAGTATTTCTCAATCCTCTTTTCGCCATCTTGGTAAACAGCTCTATCACTGTTTTTTACTCAGTTGCCCGAGCCAGGAAGGTTACTGAAAATAGTACCCTTCCCTAATGTTACTTCAATTATCAAATCTAATCAATTCTACTTTCTATCTATGTGTAACCACTTCTCTCTCTCTCTCTTTTTTTTTTTTAAGCTGAGCCATCCTGCCACCTGTTGGCAGCTCAGCGGCTGTTCGGCTCGGGCCAGGACTCGAACCGCTGTCACTCAGAGCTCAAACTCTTGAGCGAGCTCTTAACCAACTGAGCCACTCGGCCGGCCCTGTAACCACTTCTCTTAATCTGTATTGTCATTTCTCTATTTCAATCCCTAATCACCAAAGTGGTCTTTATAACCTGTGAACTGATCAGTCATTCTCTCCCTTCCTATAGTACTTTGAAGCAACATCAAGAAATCCTTAAGCTCTCTCAGTAAAACATAAGGCCCATGTCTTACTTTGGGCTCTAATCTACCATAAAATGGTAGTCACTTAATGAATTTGAGAGAAGTGACCATGTTTTTATCTTAAAGAGTCTAACATCTTTTCACTTTGGGAATCATCCCCTTAAAAGAGATGACAAGTATCCATGTCTATCATCAAAGCATGACTGGAAGAGAAGAAATTCTTGATGAGCTGACCACTTTATGGTGACCAAAGAAAACCTAGATTTTGGATTTCTACTGACCAAGCCTCTATTACACTAAGCACAAACAGAAAATGTCAGTCTATTAGAAATTTCAAAATGGGAAAACAGATCCCAAATCATAGACAAAGAGAAAGCTGAAATTACAATATAAACACCTGTTCTGACTGTGGAAACACCACTTTATTCACGTACAACTACAAATACATACTCCCAGTTGTGAAACAAGGTAGTGAAAAACATTATCTCATTTGAGCATTATCTAATTAATGTAAATTTCACTTTATCAGATATAAAAGTCTATAATCCATGACATTCTTTGTTTCAAGCACAAAACAGAAAAATAACTCCACATTTATATTTGAATTAATAGCAAATTAGTTTGAAGAAAATATTGAAACTGAAAGAAATCCACTATTATTTTTCATATGTGATGTATCTATTCTTTTTCTCAACATTTACTTTATATTGGATAAAGTTCCATTCTAAAAGCATTATTTACCAGTAGAAAGTGCTGCTACTTTGTAATAGCTTAAGTGAGCACAGTATGAAAGCTATGAAGTAATTAAATCTGTTACCTCCCATGCAGGAACATTTTCTCTGAACTTCTCATTCACCATACAACAGATTGACATTAAATAGGCCTTGCTGGACACTTCTGGAGAATAATTCATCCACAGGTAATTTTCAAGGTACTGGCTGTGAAGAGTGAGAAGGCACAGAATATCTCATTAGTAACTACCATTTGTAATATGACATTCACCTGAAAAAAAACATAATTATTTACAACTTTCTGAAAACATTTTGAATATCTGTATTTATAATTTGAGAAGTCTTCGAGCCAGCCAAGTGGCTCAGTTGGTTAAGAGCTCACTCAAGAGTTTGAGCTCTGAGCAACAGCGGTTTGATGCCCGGCCCGAGCTGAGCAGCTGCTGAGCTGTCAATAGGTGGCAGGATGGCTCAGCTTTAAAAAAAAAAAAAAAAAGAGAAGTCTTCATAATCTAGAAGTCTACCTATAATCTAGGTCACTGTTACCTACTACAAACTTATATACTATAGCAAATGCAGCTTTGGAGAATGAGAGTCTTAGATTTCAAGTTATATTTCAAAAGTTACTGACACACGTAATTATCACCATCAGAACACTGGATGTTCCCTTATCTATGGCACTTTGGAGTAAAAAAATAGTATCTGACAAATATCAGTTCTAAAACAAAATTATATATGATGGGCAGTTTCACAGATAAACGTATCTGAAAAACTAACATTAACTCATATCAGGACCAAATGACTTCCAGAAACTAAGAAAGAGACTTCACAATTAAAAAGAGGCTCTGTAATACTTAATTTACAAGGTATTCAACATACTTGTAAGTCAGTTTTCAAGATAACTGGCCTTTTCCCCTCAAGATGACAAAATTCTTACTTTAAGACCTTGGTGAAAATATTCCTAAACAAATTACATATTTCTGATTTCTAAAACAAAACAGCCATTTCTTATCATTCAGAGTAGTAATAAACTTCAACTACTATACTGGGCTATATATACCCTTAGGCACTAGTGAAAAAAGGCAGGATTTTTTGTTCCTACTTTAAATCACTCCACATGCCTAACTTTTTAATCACTTACATGCATGTACGTACATACACACACACACACACACACACACACTTAGGAATTTTAGATTCTCACATGCACTATAATTTTTCTATTTCCTCTTATGCTTCAAAGGTCTGCTCACATTGCTATTTTCATGGGTCTATCTTTAGCAATCCTTGCTTAATTTGCAAGAACCTAAGAAATTGACTAAATAGTATTTTACCCAAAATAATGGTCAAAAGGCTTCAAGCTAGAGACCAGAGTGCTCCTTCACAAATAAAATGCAATGCATAAAGATTCAGTTCATTTCTTTCTCACAAATTAAAATTTCCTTTTCCTGAATTATGTCCTTTGGAACTTCTATCACCAATAGTCTGTTAGTGTTAATGTTTCTGAAATACCTTTATTTCATGACAGTTTAGCTGGTCATAGAATTCTTCCTAGGTTGATAATTATTGTTTTCTATGTACTAGTCTCATTTTATTATCTTCTCTATCATTACAACTCAAAGGTCTACAAATCAATCAATTTGTCTTTCTTCCTCTTTGAGTAGTCTGTTTTTCTCCACCAGATTTTAAGATCTTCACTCTGCTGTTCCGCAGTGGCTCTGTTCAAAATTTGTATTCTCACAAGGAAATTACATAAAAGTTCCTGAAAGGTAACAACCCATTTTTTCAGTTATTAAGAATGGTTCACTGACACGGGTCCCTTCAATCTGTGCTGTTGCTTGCTCTCTCGGTTCCTACAATGCTCTTGGTATTTGATATGTGCCTGAACCAGAGAGTTCTGGTTTCATCCTAATTGTATATCTGCATCCTCTTGATCTTTTTCTGTCTTCTTGAAAGATGGCATGATACGATGGAAAGAGCATATTAATCTAAGGGCCAGAGGGGTCCAAATTCTAGCCTCAGTATTCTCCTCTACAAAATAACGAGGGTTATTTAGAGGATTAAATGAGATCAAGTACTCAATAACAATACCACTCTTAGGATATAGTAGGCACACAATTTACTAGTTAATTCATAACTATAAACTTTAATTTCTCTCTGTAAAAATGATAAGAATGCCTACTCAATGCCATTTTGTGTGAGGACCGAATCAGTGTGTGGGGAGTAACAGTTGTTAATATACTCAGCTCTGACCTCTGATGCAGACTAGCTTCAAGGTAGTGAGGAAAAGTAGGAAAAGGAGCTTTGACATCAGACACCAGCATCCCAGCTCTGCCTCTTCTTCAAACAATTGCTTAATCTCTCTCATCTCCGTGTCTTCCTCCAGTAAATGGAAAGTATAATAATGACTTTGCAGGGTTGCTGTGAGTGCTCTGTATATAGTGTTTAACACTGGCCTACCTAGTGCAAGGCAAGTATTCAATGGTAAATGTTATGATCATCAACAACCCTGGCTTTTATTTCCAGCCTACTGGCCACAGCTGGTTGTAACCTAATCTAATCTCCCTTAATAATCTAAAAATTATACGTTCTCTTTTGTCTGAAATATTTATAAGTAGCTAGATGAGAACAAGGCTGCCTTGGTAATAACAACTTAACGTGGCAGGAAAAAAACAGTTTTAGAGTGCACTCCAATTTACTCTTACCAATCACTAGAGGAACCAAGTAAGAGTTCAGAAATTGCTCAGCACACACTATATTAATTAGTGAGAAACAACTCAAAATATAAATCTTTAAAAACTGAATTATTTTCTTAACCACTCACAGAATGTACATAAAATTTAGCTAAATGTTAGATCATGTTGTCATCCTTAACTTTATCAAAGTAGCACCTTTTAACTCACCTAAATTCCAAGAGCATTATCTTTCTGATGGCAAACCTAAAAATATAAAAATAAAAATATTTAAATGGAGAATATAAACATTTCTAAGTTATTAATGTACATGTATTTTGGAATCTTGTTTTAATATTGATTCATATCAGAATAATAATGTGTTTTGTTCCAGGATACTTTATTTTTTAAAACTGCTTAAGAACAGTAACAAATCTTAATGTACCCCTATAACACAATCAGCACAATGACATACTAGGATATAACACACAGATTCATAAGCCAAATAATTTTAACTACAGCACAAATGTTCATTAATATTCACAAAACTGGATCACAACTGCCAAAAGCTAGCTATCTGAATTTCTGAAACACAGACCAACACTCTTTCATTTAATATTCAAGTGGAACATTCTGAAGTCATGCCCTCCTATAAGCATAGCAGACACATGTATCTACATCACAAACTGGGAGTCAGACTTTTCACATGCTTTGTAGTCTTAACATTAAGTCTAAATTATCATAAAATTGTGGAGAGAATATCAGATATCTCTCTTTACGATATATATATATTTTAAATAGAAGTACTTTGTATATGAATAAATGATGCTGTAGTTACAGGGTATCTCTCTGTCAAAATGTCCACTAATTTAGTTTTATCATTTTGTATATTAGAAATAAAGTACCAGAACACTGCCACTGGAAATATAGCCTTTAGCTTTAAAAATTAAATGCGCATGCATTATGAATTTATAATAACTCTAAGAGACCATTATCCCGTCAAAATCTTATTTCACTGATTTCTGATCTCTTAAATAGTTTTGCCGAGCAAGCAATGTCATAGAACTTCAGTAAGAAAGAAATGATGGTTTTTTTCTGTACAAAAGCACAAAAGCAGAACACTGCCAAGGAACTGGCTTCTACAGACAGCCAGTCCACTGAGAGGAAACATAAAAATATGTTAAGACAAGCTTGCTAAATATGATAATGGTAAGGATAGCAAATACGAATCAATTGTGTACTTGGGCATACATTACAGGGGTGCTTGGGCAATATGATATTTTAAGGTCTTATTTGATCCTAGAAATGATCATTTACACCATAAAAATGTTAAGAACTGATTGCTTTAATTCCCAGATGCCTCCTAGGGAAATAGGATTGATATGCAAAAAATGTATATTACAAGAACCTTAATGTATAATATTAAGAATGCCTTATGGCTATAAACTGCCTATTTTGATAGGCTACAAACAAGTTAATAAATTTTACATCAAGCCATTCCCCAATAATGAAGATGCTATGAGCATATAACTCAGCAACACAGCTTCCACAGGCACTAGTCTAAAAAAAGGGTCATGTAAATTTTTAAATATACACTACAGGTTATGTGTTATAGAAGTGTATTAGACTTTTGAACTTTGAGGTTTGGGGGCAGAATGTAAGCATTTCACTTTTATTCAATTATTCAAAACTGTGTACAAGATAACAAAATGGCTGTTAAGAGTGCCGTGATAAATCTAAATGAGCCCAGCCAGTGACAGTTATACCTCTTTCAGCAATTAAAAATAACATAGCCAAGTATATATAACTTAAAAATCATTGGCAGCTTTTAGTTATTAGTTATATAAAATTGTCCTCAAGGAAGAAATATAAAAACAAAGGTTTAAAGACAAAACGAAAACAAAAACACAAGCAATTACTATCCACTGGAGTAAAAGCCTGTTCTGAAAAGAAGCACTAAACTAGTTCTGAAGATTCAAGATAATTTTCTGATTGGTATATCCTTAATACATAAGAAAAAAGGATCCAACCACCAACCACCTCTTCACTTCCATCTCTCTCAAACTGGCAACTCCCCTCCAACTTTCCAAGCTAGTCCAAGCCATCATTATCTTGAACCTAACTACTATAAAACTCACTAATTTCTTACAACTTGTCATCTCCAAACTCCCTTTTAAAAATGTCACCATCGTGCTTACAACTCTTCGCTGGCTTCCCATAGCTCTTCAATTTAAAAAAAGAAATCCTTAACATGGTGGCCCTGCCTACTTCTACAGGCTCACCAAACTATCATTAAAACAAAACAACTAGCCTCTTGTTTTGACACTGCCATGGATTTGACTTCACAGTATTTAGTAAAATTTACCTCCTAAGGCTCAAACTCATGAAAAATATCAAGTCTGAGATTTTTATATGGTCTGTGACATTCAAACATAAATGCTTCTATTTCATATTAAAACATTTTAGTCAATTATCCTTTTAAAATACACATGGGCATGTATGTCTATAAGTGCAGATATGGAAATATACCCAAGATACATTGTTTTCTTAAAAAAAGGCATTATGGTATGTAGAGTATAAACTCTTTCCTGTTTTTTTTTTTTAAAATCTGGGTGGGACAGGACTGGAACAGACATGCACATAAATAAATAAAATGAGGGTTAAGAGATAGGAAAGAAGATTTATTAGAACTTAACCCAATCTGGATATTTTTCATAATAATTTTTATTTTATATATATACTTTATACATTATGTATAAAATACATATTTTATTATTTTGTATTTATTATTTTTATAATATTTAAATAATCTTTTAAAAAGATTTATCAGCAAATGATAAATTGTATTAGTTGACTTGGAATTTAAAAATCTCTGTATTTATTAGCCCCTACATTCCTTCAAAACAAAATAAACCTTTAGGGATTAATTCCTCTATTCTGAGCCACGAATTAGAAAACAAAGAAATATCTTATGACTCTTCAGCAGCTAGATATAAAGTTTTTCTAGTCACCATTTCCATGATAGCAAATAAAAAATTAAACTCATTCCTACCTTGATTTGACAATCTCTTTCTCATATATATCTTCAATGACCTATTATTAAAAATATAAAAATGTTTAATATCTCAAAAAAAGTTTTTTCAGACCTTAAATTGATAGTTTTCAATTACTGAGATTACACACAAAAAATTTGGTTTAGGAAAGCGATCAAATATTACTGCTATTGAAATAATACTACGACATTTTTCACAATCCCATTCCATTCCTTAAAATGGGAAATAACAGAAAGCAAAGAAGTAGAAAAAGATAAACAATAAAATATATCTACATAAAGACAGTCCCAGAAAGAATCATTAAAATGGTATGTTTGTATTATTTCTAGGGAAACTAAATGTTCATAAGGTCAGGAAAATTTTAAAACATTATTGAATTAGCTTTTAAAACAGAAATACAAAGAGTATGCCTATTCAAAAAGTATGCTGCAAACCAAAAACACTTACCTTTATATCAAAAGGTGATTTTTTCTTGATATGGGGAGCCCAGTATTTACATGCTAACTGCAAAAGAAAACAGTACAAGCAGGAAGTCACAGATTCATACCATTGTAGAACTAAAAGACTGAGGTCATTCAGTGACAAGCTGTTTCTTAACAGGGCACTACTGGCATTGAGGGGCAGAGTAATTCTACCTTCTAACAGACTTATATGGGCTTGCAGGCCAGTTCATACCATTTTCCCCAACTCAATAAATGCCACTGATGCCCTGCTATTATGATTAAAAAAAAAAATTTAAAAAAATTACATACTTTTTAAAACCACCGCTAGGGAAAAAAACAGAGCAAGGTAAATAACCACAGTCAAATATCTTCAGCATAGAGATAAGAAAAGCCAGGTCTAGGAAGATTAGGTGAGCTGCCCATGATTGCACTTAGTTAAGAATTGAGCCAGTACTAAAATACAGAATCAAAATCTTCAGGAATGTTAATTTGTAAAACAAATCATTAAATGATTAGTATACACCCATACACACCTGAAAAAAAAACCTAAAAAATTGTAGTGTATCAGTGGATTATTACAGAGAACAAGAGTTGATATGTTATATTTCAGCAGATTAGGTTTTACCTGGAAATTGTGAATTTTAAAAACGTATATACAATGTCTCCAGATACTTACGGTAGATGAATTATACAATATTCAAGAAGCAACATGGTCTTATTGATATATTTTTTAAAAAGAACCTAAACTATAACCTCTTGAAAAATAGCAAACTCTGGCAATCACAAAGACTCAATTCAATATATTTATAAAAAGGTTAATCTGTACAATGTATGTCATATTGGAGGCACTCGTAGAATAGCTGATGGATGGACACATGGACTCACAGATGAATGGAGAAATTAAGTAAAATCTAAAATGTTACCTCTTCTATGAGGCTTTCTTCAACCCTACTTGATGATGGTAATTGATTCTTCTTTCTCTTCATTTTGTAAGTAACTCTATTATAGTCTTATCTTTCTGTATTATTAATCATTTGATGGCTCATCTATCTTTCTTGCCAGCTTAATTGAAACACAAGAGATAGGACCAATGTTTTTTTTTTGCTTCCAAAGTTAAGTATCTATCACAGCCAACACACATAAAGAGCCTCCCAAGCAATGAGGCCATTGGCTCCGAGGAAATCTCCAAAGCGTCACAGCAATGTCCCACTCATATGACACTTTCCCAAATTATCAATCACCCTCCAACCCAAAAGAAAATACTCACTTTGCCCTCAACTATTCTGCGGTATCCTCGTTTCCTCATTCTGCTTCCTATGGGCATCACACAAACTCAGCCATCTTTTCCTTATATCATATCCTTATGAGAACTCAATCTGATCTAATTTCATGGATTCCAGGACTTCCAAATAAATATGTAAATCCTATCTTCTGACCCAAATGCTTACCATACATCTCTACCTCATTAAAGATCTAGCAAGCATTTATTAGACATCTATCATGTCTCTTTTTACCGAGTTTCTCCTTTTCCTTGGGTTCTAACCTGTGACCTCAGACACCTGTACCTCCAGGAATATACTGCCCTCCTCCACTCTCTAGTCTCATGTAAAATAGAAACTCTTCCCATTCTCCACTGAGTATAGCTATGAAAGCATCAATTGTTCAAAATAAATCTTAATGGGGTCGGCTGAGTGGCTCATCGGCTTGGGAGCGCGAGCTCTGAGCAGCAGGGCAGCTGGTTCAGACCCTACATGGGCCAGTGATGCTGCGTCCTCCATAGCTAAGATGGTGAACAACAGCTCAACCTGGAGCTGGGCTGCCGCGAGTCACTGGCAATGGCGTAGGCTGCAGTGGAGCTGCAGTGGGCTCCTGTAAGCTACCGTGTGTGGCCGGCAGCCGGTGTGAGCTGTGAGCTGCTGTGAGAGGCCGTCCAATGGCCGGCGACTGATCTGCCTCAGCCGGGAAGAGCACAATGATCACAATACCAACATGGGCCAGTGAAGCGACATCCTCCACAACTAGACTGAAGAACAAAAGGACAGCAACTTGTCTGTTCCCATTCCCTGATTCCCCATTGCTGTTCCCTCCCCCAATTCCCCAATAAAATCTTAAAAAAATAAATAAATAAACCTTACTGAGAGACAGAAAGGAAATAAAAACACAATTGCATAAAAAATGTGAGATCACAAGTTTCAGATATCTCATCTTCTTAAAACTAAATTTTAACCTCCTCATCTCATTCATTCAATAATAATGAAAAAGCACCTTTATTGGTCAGGTATGCCAGGTACCAGGAAGAAGAGGAGGAAAGGAGGGAGAGGGACGACCAGCTAAGACCAAGACATCCCCTCTACCTGGAAAACCAATTTCCCCACGTTCCTGTTTATGCGTCAAAGTCCATCTCAAACGGCACTTTTCAATGAGAAAATTCTTTCTGCAAATTCTTTCCTTAGACAAATGTAATCATTTTAAACTGTTCTCTACACATTTCCCTCACACTGCTATTCTGGCATTTCTGGCTTTTATCACACTGAGAACTATGATGAGTTCTTTAAGTCTCTTAAAGCCTCCTTCCACAGACTTGTGAACTCCTTGAAGACAAGATCACATTTTATTCATCTTTGCAGCCTAGAGGAACCAAAAACAGTATCTGGCAAATATTAGGTATTAATGTTTGCTATCATGACCCAAGATTTCTGAGAACGTTCATTCCTCCCACTACATCTTAATTCCCTGGTATGTTTATTCATTAGTTCACTCATTCATTCTTTCAGCAAATACTCATCACACAGTATGTGCCTAGTACGTGCTGGAAGTACATGGGGAATAAAGCAGAGATAGTCTCAAGCCTCAGCTATCACAATTTAAAGCAGATAATAAATATTATCTGTTTATAAACAACATTCCCTAGGACATCTCAGTCAATCCTACAGTTTTCAATATTATCTTGGGTCAACAATTCCCAAATTTATATTCAAACCCAGATCTTGCCAAGGTGCTCTAAGACTCATACATTCAGCTGCCTTCTCAACATTTTCAACTGAATGTCTGCCAGGCATCTTGCACTTAGCATGGCCAAAACAAAAATCCTGACCTTCCCCGCTAAACCTTCTCCTTTCCCAGTCTTCCCTATCTCAGTAAACATCCAAATCACTTACCAAACTGTTCCAGCTATGCTCAATTTGTTTCTTCCTCCATCCCTCTGCAATGGGTTATTAAGTCCCACTGCCTCTAGTTTCAGAATGTATCAGTCTACGTCGATCTTTAGTAGCAGAGGCCACCATCATCTCTTACCTGGACTAACTAAGCTATTACTACTTTTGCTCTCCCACCCCCATTCAATTGCCACACATTAGCCACAAGAATCTTTCTAAAGTATTATTCACTGGATTGCAATCAAAACCTGTATTTAGAATAAAATCTGAACTGCTTATCTCAGCCTCCAAAACCATATGTGATCTGGTCCCTACATACCTTGTGTCCTCACTGAATACCATTCTCCCTCTTACTTATGGCTGCCATCCTGGCCTTCTTTATGTTCACACCATAAAGCATTTGTACTTATTACTCCCTGGACTTTTTTCTGATCTTCCCAAAACTGGCCCCTTTTTTGCATTCAGGTCTTAGCGCCAATGTCACCTCAGAGACGACTTACCTGTCTTTCACACACCCCACCCTGTCACTATCACAACACCATTTCATTTTCCTGACAGCACTTATCACCGTCTGAAAATACACCGTTTGTCTGGCTCATCCCTCTAAAATATAAGCTCCAAGAGAGAAGGAAACTAATATATGACTTTTGCTGCAAAAATGCAGGTATATAGGAAAAGGAAGATCTAATCTAGTTTAAATTGTCAGGAAAAGCCTCTCCAAAGTAATGAAGATGAATGACAGTGAATTAACCATATAAAGGAAGGAGAGGGGGGAAATGAAGCAGAGGGATCAATGTCGAAAGGCCAGGAGTGAAAGAGCATGGCACATTCAAATAAATAAAGGTCAGTATGGCTAAAACCCAGAGTTAGAAAGGGAGAGGAAAGAGAGAGAAAGCTGGAGACAAGGACAGACTAGGTCACACAACATTCTGAAGGATTCCGGTCATTATCTTAACATCAATTACAGCTCTTTGAATCTTTGAAGGAGGTAAGTGACATGATCAGATGTGCATTTGTATAAAATCACTCTGATGGCAATATGAAGAATGGGCCGGAGGAGAGCAAGAGGAAAGACAGGTTAGGATGCCTAGGTCCAGGCAGCATCAGTGGTAACCTGGCTTAAGTTATACAGGTGTGGAGAAGCACAAAGGCTTACAACATTATTCAGAAGGCAGAGAAATGTAGGGGTTATGGGAAAGTGAGGACTCAAAACGACTCTGAAGCTTCTGTCCAGGCAATCCTCTGAGACGGGAGCTAGAGAAGGCAGAAACAGGTGGGGTAATAACTTCTGCATTGAGTTACTTGCACTCTTATCCAATACACAAAACAACGAATACAGATGAGGAACATTGCTGAGGGCTTACAGGATTGCGTTTCCCTACTCAAAGCCAACCGCGGTTCACAATGCAATACGGTAAACAGGTTCCAAATGAACGCGCTCAGAGCACAGGCGTACCCTCTTCACAGGCGCATCTCTCTGGGGCAGGTGACTATAAAACGCCGCTCAAAACTCCAGGTGACTATAAAACGCCTATCCCTCTCTCACCCGTCAGTTCAGGATCACCTCTCTAG